TGAACACAGAATACAAGATGAAATAAATAATAATAACAATAAGCTGAAAGAATGCTAATTTAAAATCCTTAAAAAAAATAATTATTGAAAACTGTTAAATCCCAAACTCTATAGGTTTACAACTCGGAAATCCATCCATTGGACTCCTTATTAAAATTCTCCAAAAGATACTGAAATAATAAAAATAAAATCCAAAGCTAACATAGAGAAGATTCCTACATAATCGGAGGAATGAATAGCTGTATCTGCTCTGCATGTCCAAACTCTAACCCTGAAACTGATGAGCACCTGAAAAATAAAGAAGTGGGTCAGGCCCACATACAAGTCCTTATCTACTACAATCCAAACAGTAATCCGATACGCAGATACATCCTAGGAAGACTCAACAATATCTAGAGTAGTCCATATATGTATATAATACACACTATAGGACGCTCGCTAGTCCAGTAGGTTTGTCTCAGCCTGAATAGAAGGCACCATGCGAATACGCACCCTAGGGTGGGCATGAGTACCTAGACCTACCAGGGAACAACACCTATGTCCGGTTATCCATCCTAGGCGATATACGCGCCCTAACCATGGTCATGAGACTCAAGCTCATTCCACGGCACCATATAATATATATATAAAGTCCGTACTCCTCCTAATACAGTATACTATCCATCTGTGTAGTGGTCTGATATATGTATAACAAATCCATCCTGAAATCCTAGTAGGTCATTCAATTCACAACTGATATGACACATGTAGATGATGGACTTAACCTTTATGATTAATCCATACCTTGATCCAAATTAGGTAGGACTTAATGTTGGAATTAGTCCATACCTAGTATGTCACCGTCCCATACCGGTACATACCATCCTCTAGTTAACAGAGTTGATAAAACAGTATTAGATAGTCATCAACCCAACTCCCAAATTATGCACAAACCAAATTAATCCATAATTATAAAACTTAGGCATTCAGTCCAGGCCTAGAAATTATTTTCCAACCATTAAATTTGTTATTTATAAAACATAGCATTAACATCATGCAACAAGTCCACTAATTGATACAATTAACTGATTTATTATATCAATTTACTTCCAACCAAACATAGCTAATTCCAAGAATTTACTATGCTTAGAAAACTGTGTAAATATAATTTAAACAGTATTAAACCAAGAAATCCAAATTACAGTCCGTTAAATGACAAACAAAGACATGCAATTTACTTATCCAACCATTACCATAACTGATGCAATCTATATCCCGTTTACACGATCAGTTAATTCCATCCATGCATACATTTGACTATACTTCTATAAGCTTGTATCACAACATAAACATGATTAGCAGTTTAAGATTTGGCAGAGGAAGCAAAATTCCACAATCAGTAAACAACAGAAATTTAATTTCCATTCATCTTCCTACCAGTTTTCTATCTAAGCTCGGATTAATTCCATCCTCATTATTCGAATGTAGGCATGTTCCCCAACACTTTTATAAGTCTTAGAACTTAAGTCACAACCTTCAGTAGCTTTCAATTAATTTTTAAAAAATCAAACCTCAGCCAAACGGACCACAAAATGCAATTTCTGGACAGTTTAAGAGAGAGCAGGCTCTAGAAATTAAAAGAGCCTGCTCTTCTTTTCTTCAGAGCCGGCTCTAGGCTCATTAGAGCCGGCTCCACAACATCCTAAAGCCGGCTCTACCTTCTATGAGCCGGCTCTAAGGGTTTTTCAGAGCCTGCTCCCTTTTCCCCTTAGCAGCTTCGTCCATTTCATCGTCTTCTCTGATTTCTGTGAGTACCAGTTCTTGTAGTAAACTTTTAGTGCATGTTTTAAGGCCTAATTCAGTTCCAAATTGATTTTAAAACAATGATATACCATCAAACTTAAATTGAAAACGAAACACTACATAACGGAGCAAGGTTACAGAACTACAGTTTCTTTACTATCTTTCTGAAACAACGAAGAACAGGTTAAATTTCATGAGTTTAAACATTAATTAAACATACATAAAGGTTATACTTAAGCCTTAGTTTAGTTCCTGGAGTCTTCCTAAACATGCACAGAACACAGATTATAGAGATAGAGAAGAACAAGACTTGCCTTGAGTTTCAGACTTTGAAACTCTAATTCCACAGTTTATGTAGTCTTCCTTGAACTGCTCTGCCAATTCCCTAAGTTCACGCTCTGTTTCTTAGCAGCCCTTGGTGATACAGACGTAGCTTTATGTTTTCTAAAACCCTAAACCCCAGTATGCTTATATTTATAGGTGAATCCTGATAACCCTAAGTCCATAAAGATATAACCCGGCCCATAGGTACCTAGGTTAAAATCAACGTCGGCTACCCATGTAAATTTTAAACCTAACTTACAATAAGTAAATAAATTCAAAAAATGAAAAAAATTAATTAATAACAATTCTATCAGGTAACAAATCAAATAACACAATTTAATGGAATTAAAGCCAAAAAAATAATTAAAACAGTTAAAATATCCTTTTAAACTAGGGGTATTACACTGCCGGAATTGTTGCATCCGAGGATCTTGATTGGATTCATTTGCATCATATTTATTTTATTTAACGTGTTTTAAGTGATTGTGAATTAATGTGTATAAGTATATATATGGTGTATAATGAAAAAAAAAAAAAAAAAAAAGAAAAATTGGTGGGACTCACCTTAACCTTCTAAAGTGTATTAGAGACCACAATTTTGGTCTCATTTTCTCTATTTCTTCTCTCACTCCCGTAAGCCTCTCTCTCTCTCCCATTCTAGACTCTTCTTTTTTTCTTTTTCTTGGTTTCAAGATTCAATTCTTGATTACTCCTTTAATATGTTGTAAACTTGCTAGAAGTGGTATATGAAAGCATGTGTAATAATTTTTGTAAAACATGCTTATTTGTGTGGTATAAAATCCCTTATTGCCATGGCATTGAAAGCATGAGGCATACATGCATACCAAGGGGCGTGAATGGAGGAAAATGATTTGTAATAAATGAAAAAGGGATTTTTGGGGAAATGTTTTGATTAAAATGATTTTGAAAAAACCCGATAGTCGCAGAGTCACCAAAGGGCCGGTGTGTTAATGTAACCTAGAGGGAACTAAGGAAATCGCCCTAGCGTGGTTGAGCTATCTGGGCCCCAAATGATGTCGCGGGCGTACCAAGGGTCAGGGATAGTGGCCAATCCTTCTCTCGTGTCGCTGCGGAGTCACCAAAGGACGGGTTATATTAACAGTTTGTGAAGCGATAGATGTTTTCTGAAAATAGGGAGTGACATGCATGGCATTGCATTCATGGCATGGCATTTGTTTGTTTTGAATTTGGAATTGATATTGTATCTTTTCCTGGTTGAGCATGACCCCACTCCCTATTGTTCTATTCATTATTTGGATTTACGAGGTTACAAGAGGTATGTCTTAGGTACCACCTACTGAGCAATTTATTCACCCCTTTATATTTAACATTTTCAGGACACGGCAAAGAAGTAGCGGACGTTAATCCACCCCAGTCTTAGCCCAGAGTAGGAAAATGTCTCTTTTGCTATCGTTTGTATTTGGGCCTAATAATTTTGTAAAGTGTTGACTAAAGATGTATTACTTTGCAACAAGTGATATATTTAGGTTCATTTTGTATATGGCCATTGGGAAAAATGTAATTAACTTTTAATTACACTAAATCCTTCAGTGTATTTTAACTAACGTGTGATAAATTATATTAACATTGTGATTGTTGTTATTGTGGGTGTTGAAATGTATTTAAACATGTACGTGAGTGTCCCAACCAGTCAACATAAAATCCCATACATCGACCGGATGACCTGAACCAGTCGACGTGAATTTCCCACATGTCGACCGGTATCTTGGCAATGTGCTTTTTCCCTGTACACGTCTTTAACCAGTCGACGTGTAGCCTCCCACACGTTGACCGGTATCTTGGCAGTGAGCAATATTACTGTACATGACCCAAACTAGCTGACGTGTAATATATACACGTTGACCGGTTCCTGTCCCATAGATTTTTTATTTAGTTTCCCGAATTAAATTTTTTTTTTTTATCACCTATTTAGAGTTACGAGTATTTATTTTATGACCAAATAAAATACAATAATTATATTTTAACCATAGAAAAGCCTATATTGCCCCTGACTTTATTTTACTTATTATTTGACACAAGTAAATGACTATTATACACTCGGAGTCTCAAACCATTAGAACTGTGACAAAAGACCATCTTGTCCTTGTTGGACTTAAATATTTAAATTTAACGTGAAATGACCATATTACTCTTTGATGATTCTGGGTCGGGCAAGGACCCGTTTAATGATCCGGATCCAGTGGATTTGGGTCGTTACAATTTCCTTCCATTTCCTCCCACTTTTGGAAGGATAATAAAAGCAACCAAGATGCCTAAATTGTATCCTTCCAAATCCCTCAATTTCCTTTCTTTTTCTTTAACATGATATTTCATTTCCTTCCATTACCTTTCCTTTCTTTTCATTTCATAACCCTCCAACCAAACGGACCCTAGAGGATTGTACCCAATTTTTATAAATCAATAAAATTATTATTTGATACATATTTCGTTCTTTAATTTGCAGTTATGAAATTTGTGTGTACAAGAAGACAACAATTCTGTGAAAAATATAGTATTTGATTTGAATCTTAATTTTGAATTCAGAGGGAAAGATTTGTGTTATTATTATTATTATTTTCAATTTGTGTTTTTATCGGTAATTGGCAATAAAAATAAAAATAAAAAAATAATTAATTAACAATAAGAAGCCAGAGAACATATTTGATTCATGAGATCCATTGTTAGATTTAGGGTGAGCGGGCTAATCATCGGCTGATGCACTTGTGGAATATACTAAAAATGTGTGACATTGTTGTGAATAATTGAAATCGACAGCTAGGCTTATTGGGCCAGCCCAGAGTAAACTCTGGCCGATTTTTATTTATTTAAGACAGATTAGGGTTAGGTTTATTAGAATGAAGCTGCAGTTATACATGGAAGAAGAGTTGTCAAGGTTATGGAGGGAGAGTTTTGATAGATTCAGCAATATTCCTGATGGCCTTTTTCATGAAATTCTATGCTTCCTTCCCATCAAAGACATTGCTCGTACCAGTCTTGTCTCCAAAAGATTCAGACAGCTTTGTCTCTCTGTCCCAGATTTGTTTCTTGCTTTTGAGTTGCAGGATCTATGCAAATTAGGTAATTGGACAGATAGGTTTCTCACTCTGCGTAATGGGGCGAAACTGCGACGTTTTGTTCTGACCTCGTCGACCTCACCCTGTGAAATTGCTGAGACTCAGAGATTGGATAATAGTCGTGTAGGCAATTGGATTCACAATACTACAGTGATCTGTAAAGCGCAAGAACTAGATCTATCATTTGGAATCTCCAAAGACAAAGAATGCTTTTCTCTACCACTGTCCACCTTCATTAGAACGATCAAATTGAATCTTTACAATGGCAATCTGAAACTGCCTTCTTTTAGCTTCAATTTGCTCCAGGTTTTGGACATAAAATATGCAAGACTTGCTCGCAGCTTATCTGAGGATTGGGTTTCATCTCTCTTCCCGGCGATTAAAAAGTTAAATCTGGTAAGTGTAAAAGGGATAGACAATCTCAATATCACAAGCTCGTCTCTTGAATATTTGGACATAACTGGCTGTTATGGCCTTCACAGAGTAGTTGTGTCTGCCGAGAGACTCCAGACTCTAGGTGTCATATTCTCTCACCGCGATTGGTTATTAAGAATTTTTGCACCAAGGCTTCGTGAAGTAAAATTGTGTGATGATCGTTACTGCTTCCAAGGGAGCTCTATGTGCCTACAAAGTGTGAACATCGATGCTCCAATGCTTGTAGAGAGTAAAAGCTTGCTTCTGCTTCTTCAATTTATGAACCATGCCAAAACAGTTACACTCCTAGCTGGCTTTCTTAATGAGGTACGGCTCATGAATACACAATTGCTTAATAATATATATATCTCTTAGACAACAACTTAACAATTTAATTAAAACTGACTCTAGTTGTGGTTCTATTTTAGGTGCTTTTTAGACGAGGTTCGCTATGGTATATGTTGGTTAATGTTCAAAACTTGGTTGTGCAATCTTTTTCTAAGAAGGATAATAAAATGCTTGCATTAGCCTCCTTGTTTGGAATGTTCCCTAATCTGAAGACGCTGACCATGAGTTGCTTTGATTTATACCCTTTTGGTTATGAGGTAATATTGATATTCAATAGTTTTTCTTTGCTTTTCTTCTTGTTTGCCTCAATATTTTTTATTTTTAATATCATTGTTTTTCATCTCTCAGTTAAGCAACTTGTTGGCTTTAGATCAACGTAAGTTTGATATACAGTATTGGGAGTCTCACGATTTTGCATTTCTTCATCAATTGGAGGAAGCCAATATTGAGATTAATAAATGGGCATTTGAAGTTGGACTCATAAAATATTTGATTCAGCACGCAAAAGCACTCCACAAGATGACGGTCACTTTTGCTTGCAATATTGATATTAGTAGATCAAGCCAGATTCGTGACAAATTATCTGAATTTTATGAGAATTTTCCCAATTCAACATTAGATTTTGTGTTGAAATGAAGCTGTTACAAAAATTAGTTTTATATCTTTAGTACTTATATTTTTATAAAGTTAGAATTTCAAAGTATTATGAGAACTTAATTTTACATTTTATATTGTGAAGAATGCTGAACTAAAATGGACTCATGTTATTGACCTGATAGAACAAATATATATATGTGCTAGTGTCATTTTTCATGAAGCTACAATGGTTGTATGATATATTATTACCACTATATATTTTCAATCACTTTTTATTTATTTCATTTATTTTTTGACTAATAATGTGCACAAATAAAAAATATCACTAGCTAAGCAACTTGTTGGCTTTAGATCAATGTAAGTTTGATATACAGTATTGAGAGTCTCACGATTTTGCATTTATTCATCAATTGAAGGAAGCGAATATTCAAATTAATAATTGGGGATTTGAAGTTGGACTGATAAAATATTTGATCAAGCAAGCAAAAACACTAGACAAAATGATCGTTACTTTTTCATACGATATTGATGTTACTTTTTCATACGATATTGATGTTAGTAGATCAAGGCAAATGTGCGAAAAGTTATCATCATTCTATGAGACTTTTCCTAATGCAACATTAGATTTTGTGTTGACCTGTTATCTCAGTTGATGCTTGGCTACTGCTCTCTTCCTCTTGTTTGCTAGCTGCTTGTTAAAAAAAAAATTCAAGGAGACTAAGTTGGATGACGCCATGTTCATGTGGTTTCTGTTACAGTTTGTGGAAGCATGGGATACGTAAAAGAAGTTTGTGAAACATTAAATTTTGTTTTGAGATGAAACTGTTAGAAAATTTTTTTTTTTTTAATATTTATATTTTCAAAAAGTTAGAATTTCAAAGTAATATGAGACCTTTAGTTTACACTATGTATTGAGAAGAATGCTCAACTAAATTGAACTCTTACCTAATGGAGAGAGATAGTTGGAGAGGTGACAAAACCCTCTACTTTTCATTACAAAACCAATAAATCGAAAAAAAGATGGACTAGTTTGCCAAAGAATTTTTGGACCTATAAAAAGCAGAATTTGTGCTTGTGGAAATTATCCAGTAATCGGAAATGAAAAGGAAGACCCGAAATTTTGTGAACAATGCGTAGTCGAATTTGTTGATTTTCGGCTACACAGATATCAAATGGGTAACTCATGTGTAGTATTTGAAACGTCTTTCTAGTTATATTACGAATCTTTTAGATAAACCTCTTAAAGAATTAGAAGGTCTTATTGACACATAATAGAACAAATATATATTAGCTTATGTCATTTTTCATCTTGCTACAATGCTGGTCTTTCCAACCACTTTTTATTTATTTTATTTTTTGAAAAAGATTTTTACCGACAAAAGGTTTTGGCAAATATGCAATTTTGTGCATTTGCTAGTAGAATCAAAGAGAGTCGGTTTATAGGAAATTTGAACATCACCAAGATGATCAAAGTGTTTCCATGTTTAAATTTGCATCCAATTGAATTTTCTGGTGATTCGAAGCAGGGTAAAACTTATCTTTTATATTAGCTTTCATGCACTTCTATCACTTGGAACATATAATACAAATTTTTATTTATTTATTTAATTTTATTATTATGACTAATAGATGCATCTGGTTCGAGAACAATGAATTGATACAGAAAATGCAAAGATTTTATCAAAAATCTGTTGTGAATTTCTCTTTTGGAGGTGTGTGATTCTTTTTTAATTGTAATATTTAGCTCAGTCTTTATCTATCTCGAAGGCAAATTTTGGATATGAATATTGTGATTACAATTTGTCGGGCCGGTTTTGTGCTTATAACAGAATAAAAAAATGCATATCAATTTTATCTTCTCTTTCATTTTTGGAACTCTGAAAAAAAAAAAAACACACACACTCTGGAACTCAATCTACAACTTAAAATATGAATCATACAAATCTGTCTAGCATATGAGTTAAAGATTTTGGAACTCTGAAAAAAAAAAAAAAAAAACAACCACTCTGGAACCCAGTTAACAACTTAAAATACGAATCATACCAATCTCTCTAGCATATGAGTTAAAGATTTTGGGCACTTTAAAGATGTGCATAAACATTTGTATATTATTATTAATTTTTTCCCGCTAAATAGTACTAGCTAGTAGCAACGCATGATTGAAAAAAATATCACAAAGTCAAAAACGAAGAATTTTAGATAGTAGAAGAACAAGAAAAATGAAAGAATAACGACATAACTCTGGAAAGAAAACGAAATAGAGTGTGCAGAAGGAAAATTTTACTTTTTAAAGGAAATTAAGGGAATTTATAGAGAGAAAAGAGGAAAATAAGCAAAAATTAAAAAAAAAATTTAGAAACTAAAATAATTTTAGGTGGGGTATTATATACAAATTTTCATATGTAAGTTAAAAAATTAAAAAAAATACTGTAATAATATAGTGGGCGGGCCAAACTAGGAGGGACATGTGCCCATTCTGGGCATGAATTGACTCTACCTAATATATATATATATATATATATATATATATATATATATTCTTTTTCAATATTGTAAGATCCAACGACTTAGATGAACTTGGGCCATTGTATTGTTTAGTTTGAATGGGATTATAGGTGCAAGATGGGCTTCCAGTTGGACCAATTCAATATTTACATGTTTTCAACTTGCGCCAATTAAAGATCCACATGTATTTGGACTAAATTTATACGGATGTGCTATGTTTTTAAAAATAAAAACTTACACTTGCTTACGAATCACAAGCCGATCTTAACAAAAATGAGTTCGAGCTCGACTCATTTATTTAACAAACGAGTCCGAGTTGAGCCCTAACTACCAGTTCCGTATTTATTGAAGCTGTAGTTACAGTATTTGGTTTAACCAAATACTGTAACTACAGCTTCATTATAACAACCCTAAACCTAATCTTTTATCACAACAATGCTTGCCTCGGGGAAGAACAGCGCAAGGGCCAAAGGAGAGTTTTATCTGTAATATTCCTGATGAGGTTGTTTTTGAAATTCTCCACTTCCTTCCCATCAAAGACATTGCTCGTATCAATCTCGTCCCCCAAAAGATTGAGACAACTTTGTCTTTCTATCCCAAATTTGTTTCTTGATTTTGAATCATACACAATGGAAAAAATAGGTAACCGGACAGACCGGTTTCTCTCCCCGCATAACGGGGCGAAACTGCGACGTGTTGTTCTGAAGATGATTTCTTCCCTTAACGACTATGATACTGATCGTGTATGCGAATGGATCGATTCACAATACTACAGTGATTTGTAAGGCGGAAGAGCTCGATCTATCATTTGGAATGTCAATTGGATGGCCTGGAGAAGATGGATGCTTTCCTCTACCGCTATCCACCTTCGTAAGAAGATTAAATTGAGACTTGATGACTCAATTCTCAAACTACCCTCCGACTTATCTGAGGATTGGGTTTCATTTGCTTTCTCTCGAGCGTATGCTATCTCATTGGTACCATACCATGTTGAGCTCGCACATCTCTCTTCCCCACGATAAAAAAAGTTAAACCTGGAAAAGGTCAGAGGGATAAACTATCTCAATATCACAAGCTCCTCTCTTGAATGGTTAAGCAAAAATCCCTGTGGCATTCACAAAGTTGTTGTGCCTGCCGAGAGACTCCATACCCTATGTATAGGGGCATGCTATCCTAGTAGTTATCACACACCCGACAATTCGTTATTTAGAATTTATGCACCCAGCCTTCAAAAAATATGGTGGTGGGCTGATCACTACTTCGTCCGAAAGCGGTTGTATGTGCTTATGAAGTGTGAACATTGATGCTGCAAGTACTCCGCTAACAAAAACATGTGTGTGCTTCTTCAATTTATAAACCATGCCAAATCTGTTACACTACTCGGCGTCATTCTTGAGGTACTTCCTTTTACCCCCACAAGTATTAAGTACACGTACTCTCATTCTCATTACATTTTTTATTTTTTTATTTTTTTTTCTCAATGTGAACACACAATTGCTTAATGACATCCCATAGATAAAACAGTTTGCACAAAATAATATTAAAGCTTACTTTAGTTGCTGTCCTGTTGTAGGAGCTATATACACAAGATTTTGTACCGTATATGTTGGATAATGTGCAACACTTGAATTTGGAAGCAGGGGCGGAGTCAGGGAAAAATATGGAAAAAAATTTTGGCGGGGGGGGGGGGGGGGGGGGGAATTAGTTAATATAAAATCAAATTTAAAAAATAAAATAAAATACTTGTAATTTTTTTAGTTCATTTTTTACAGGTGTGTTTATAGATAAATATGAAAAGAAAAATAGGACAAATTAAGAGCTATTGAGGGGGGGGGGGGCGGGGGGCAATTTAATTTTTATATAGAAAATGACCATTGACATATATAATTTAGTACTACTACTAAAATTTTGCAAAAAATTTGGGGGGGGCCACCCTCCGCCTCTGTTTGGAAGTCACTTGCCAGGAGGATCATAAAATGCCTGCTTTGGCCTCATTTTTTGGAAGATTGCCTAATCTGAAAACCTTGACTATGAGATGTATTGATTACTTTTTTTCCTCAGAGTAAGATTACTATTCAATATTTTTTCTTTGCTACTCTTCTGCTTCAGGGTAAATATTGTTTGGCTCATTTTTTGTTTTTGATATCATTGCTTTTCATGTTTTAGGCAAACAACCAGTTAGCCTTAAGAGACACAAGATTTTGATATAGAGTACTGGGAGTCTCAATATGTTGCATTTATTCATCAATTGAAGGAAGTAAAGATTGAGATTCAAAGATGTTGTTTTGAAGTTGGACTAATAAATATTTGATCAAACACGCAAAAACACTTGACTGTATGACTCTTACTTTCTCAAACGATGTTAATATTGGGAGATCTAGGTGGATTCGCGAAAAGCTATCAGAATTCTATGAGACTTTTCCTGATTCAACATTAGATTCTATGTTGAAATGAAGCTGTGGTCGGACGCATGAACGCCAAAAGGTCCTATATGAGAGTAAGCCTTGTCGAGCATGTGGACCTTTTCAATTGCAAGGATATAAGATTAGATTTAACTGATTCAAAGAGTCGAGAGATTGTGTGAGATTGAATAGATGTTACTCTTTTGAAGAGTCTGGAGTTTCATTCGTCCCATATGCTGTATATGGTTGCTTTGAGGGTGAGTTTTGAAACAAATGATGGGAGGACAATGAATTGAAAGTGAAAAAATGCAAAGATTTTATCACAAAACTGTTGTTATGAATTTTTTTATTTTTTTTAATTGATATTTATGCACACCCCTCTAAAGAATTGTTTGTTGAGTTTGTGAACGTACCTCTTCAATTGTAATGATAGAAGCTTTGCTTTAACTGATTCAAGTATCTGGCTAATTAGTTGAGATTGAGTAGGCGTTACTACTTTGAAGAGTCTAGAGTTTCATTCTTCCCCGATGTGGTGGATGGTTGCTTTGAAAGTGAGTTCTGAAAGAAATGAGGGGAGGAAAAAAATGCAAAAAAATTAGTACAAGGTGTTGTATATTTCTCTTTTGAAAATTTATGACGCTTTATTTAATTTTTTTTTTTTTTTAATCTTTAGCTCGGTCATTGTTAATCTTGATGGGCACGAAAATTGTGATTATTCATGTCAGATATGTGCTTGCTAATGCAATCAGATGATTTTTTCAGAGTTACAGGATGAAAAATACACATCATTTTATCAAATGCATTTTCTGTTTTTGGGGTAAAGGTTTAGATTGGGTTGAATTTAACAGTTCTTTGATTTTCTACACATGTGATAATATTACTTTACTGAAAAATCATAATTGTCCAGGATAATGTGATTCTCCCAATTTTATTTTATTTTGAATAAAAAAAAAGGTCTATATGATTGATAGTATGATGTTGGTTACTGACTTGTGTCATGGGGATGGATAATGGGGTTATTTAGGACAGTTTAGCTCTTTGTATGTCACGATCCTAAAATGATATCAAAATTCGGCATGAACTTTACTAAAAGGATCGTATCATGACCTGTTGAAATGCATAAAAAAAATTGTAATAGCCTCACTTGGCCATAAACTAATCTATTCTGTCCCAACGCATAATGCGAACAATATACCAATTCCCAAAATAACTATATACATATAATTAGAGTCCTTTCCCTCCAGTTCCTTCAATAAAAAAAAAAAATTGGGAGTGACAGTCCACTACTTAGTCCAATACTTATTTACAAGGAACATAATCTAATTACATTAATTTATAATCCATGAAATACAGCTGAAATCAAAAGTCCATAATGAAAAGAAAACAATAATTTATAGTCCATGAAATTATACTAAAGTTTATAGTCCACGAAATTATACTAAAGTTTTAATAGTCAAAATTTACATTTACAAAATATTAAAGTTGTAAAATAAAAATAGCAAAATATAAATTTCCAATCCCGTCTAAACTTGTGGTGGATGGTCATTCGCCACCTCTTTTCCATGTCCTGAAAAATATATTAAATAATAAGGTGAGCATAAAGCTCAGTAGGTGGCACCTAAAACACACTTCTTGTAACCCCGTGAATCCAAACAAAGAATTAAACAATAAGGAATGGGATCATGTTAAGCTGGGAAAATACAACATAATTTCCAAGTTCAAAATTAACAAATTTCCATGCCATGAATGCAATGCTATGCATGTCACTCCCCATTTTTCAATTCACTTCAAAAACTTCACTTTTCAAACCATTAACGTAACTCGTCCCTCGGTACCTCCTCGGTGTCCGGATTTTCACAAAATCCATTTCTCAAACAGGTTTCCCAAAATCCCTTTTTCATTTGTTCAAAACCATTTCCCTTCATTCATGCCCCACAATGTGCATGTATGTCTCATGTATGCAATACTAGGGCAATGAGGAATTTCCATTCAACACCGTAAGACAAACTTTACAAGAATCCTATGAAAACTTACTCATGCCTTCATATATTATCTCTAACAAATTATCAACACAATAAACATAGAAAATCAATATTTAGACATGCTTCTCATATAAATCAACAAATACATGTAGCAACATGCTCCATAATACACAATTAGGTCATTTATAAGATAATCAAATCAAATTTATCATGCTCCATCACAAAATCTCTAACAATTTAATAAGCATTTTAGGCATGAAAAATTAACACATTAAGCATGCTCTTTCATTCAATTTAATCAAATACACATATTCACATACTTCATATACACAATCAAGTCAATTGAAAGAGCAATTAACACAAATTATTATGCTAAAACACTAATCAAGTAAGATTAATTCACAAAGGTGCAAGATTGTAGGAATTAGGGATCCCTACCTCAAATCAAGCAAAAACCCCTAAAATGGGTCTCAAAACCAGAATCCCTAGAGTGTACTAAAACTGAAATTGCTTATATGGATGTGAAGATCTTGCTGTGCTCTTCAAATTGCCGCAAGCGGCTCTTAAAAATATCAAAAGTTGAAAGAGAAATCTAGGACTGAAGTTTGAAGAAGAAAAAGAAAGAAAAAAAAAAGAAAAGAAAACCGAAGCTTGAGAGAGAGTGAGAGAAGCCAACGGGAGAGAAGAAAGAAAATAGAGACCAACTAGTGTTTTGTTGGCCTTAAGTTTGATATTAGTTGGTCCTACCATTCTTTTCTTTTCTTTTTTTCTTTTTTCTTTTTTTTTTACACTACATACATATATAAATACATATTAAATAATTTCACAACTTCATATAACACACTAAACAAAATAAATATGATGCAAATGGACCCAACTAAAATTTTCGTGAACAACAATTCCGGTAGCGGGTTCCACGCGGAACCTTCCAGCCCGAAAAATGAAAAAATGCAAGAATGATCACCCTTACAATTCAAAGAGTTCTGAACTCAATGAAATGTCCCAAACAACTCTAGGACATAACCAGCACACTCCACAGTGTCCGGCACGCAAAACGACAAAAGACGAGAATGCCCTCAAAAAATAAAAAATTTCTAAAAATTGAAAAATGGCAAAAATTGGAAACATCACATTGTATCTCTACATACATTGAATATGACATTTGTTATTTAAGCTTTATTGGATAAAAAGGATGACAATTTTTGAAAATATTTGATTTGAGTTTAAGTTTTAAGTCCTTTGGTTATACTTTTATATTTATTCAATATATATATATATATATTGAATAAAATAATTACATGATATCTTGTTTCATTCTAACTTAGTCTCACATACTTTCTTTTCCCTGTTTTTATTTTTAATTTTGTTTTTTATGTCAAAAAAAAAAAAGTTAAAATCTAAAATGAAGATGCCTAGGGTGGGTCACATTTAGGATGTATAACATTTGGGCCACGACAAAGGTTGTGAACCGAATCCAGAAGTAGACTGTTGGTCAAACTCAAATAATATAATAATTATGTATTGAAGCCGTAAGGTGTTTTTTTTGTGGCCTACAGATATCAGAGGTAAGGTTGTATATTCAACTCTTTAAAAATTCTGCAATGGCGGAGCATTGGGTAAAAATGAAAGGAAAGACTCTCCCCAATGGAAAGAGCCTTATGCACTGAGTTTGGCTTCTTTTTTACTGGAAATTCTTCTAGCTTCTGAGTTTTTATTTATTTATTTATTTTAAGAATTAACTTTTTTATAAAACAAAATAAAGATTTACAAAAGTAAATTCTGAAAGATTTACAAAAAGTGGTAGGGTTCATGAACCTCATGGGCCATAAACATTCGATCTAAAATAAAAAAAGGCCCATTAAGTTACAACTCTAAGATGTACAACAGACAGCCCAAGTTGATTCAACCTAATCTAATTCTTTGCCTATATATATCTTCTCTCGAGCGCAAAGCTCTCTGTTCGTCAGTTGCAGAGATCTCTACAGAGCTCATCATAATCATCAACTGTACGCATTCGCTCGGAACCATTCTTTAGCAATTCTTCTGGCAGAGTATTTATATATATTGGTTTTATTTATATATATATCTGAAAGATTTTGGCAAAGATGCAATTATGTGCATTTGCTGGTAGAATCAAGGAGAATCAGTGTATTTAAAATTTGATCACCAAGATCATCAAATTGATGCCATCATGCCAAGCTCATATTTGCTCCAGGTTTTGGACATAAGAGGCATAAGGTTAAATCTGAAAGAGATGGTAGGAATAAACTATCTCAATATCACAAGTAGTTATTCTCTTGAATGGTTACCCATAAATCTGTGAGGCATTCACAGAGTATTTGTGTCTGCTGAGAGGTTCCAGGCCTTATGTGTGAGGGGCATGGTATCCTGGTAGTTATCACACACCGGACGACTGGTCTGTTAGAATGTATTTATGCACCAGGCCTTCAAAAAGTCATTACTGCTTCCAAAAGTATGTGCCTATAAAGTGAGAACATAGATGCTGCAAACCTTGTGATGAGTATTCCCCTTGCTTAATAAATATCTTTCTTGTGCTTCTTCAATTCGTTTGTAAACCATGCCAAGTCAGCTACCGGCGGTACTTCCTTTTAGATATAAGTTATCTCATACCAGAGTTCAGTGGAAAATTTACCATATGTTATTTATTTATTTATTATTATTATTTTGGGGCTTTATTTGGGGCAGAGGAATGGTTTGGAATCCAAACCAGAACTAGGCCCAATGGGCCAGGTCTATTTCCATTTATATGTTCTTCCGAATTGACCAAATAATTTATGAGGAGTACTAATTGTAGTTGAGTAAGCAACTGTGCTTGTGTCCATACGGAATGTGTGATACATATAATAACTAATGTTATGTGAATAAATTATGAAAAAAAAAAAAAAAAAAAAGAAAGAAAGAAAGAAAGAAAGAAGTTAGATAGGACAATCCATTCACAAGAGTTGGATTCTAAAAAAAAAAAAAAAAAAAGAATCCACTAGATTCTAGATTTTTTTTTTAAATACAAAATTAGTTATATGTATATATATACACGTATATATTTCTTTTCACAACTATGAATTATTTTCTTTTTCTTTTTAAAATCTATTTATACATGGATAGTTGTAAAAATAAAAACAGAAACTAACACACACACACACATATAAGAAAAAACAAAAAAAGAAAGAAAAAAAAAAAGGGAAGAATTTATAGTTGTAAGAAGGAATATATAATCGATTTCAGAATCCATCTTGCACATATTACCTTTCTTTTTATTCTTTTTTGATTTTTTTCTTGGCACTTGTTTTTTTTTTGTTCTAATTATTTTATATGTATATATACTCGCACTTCCCATATAGACCGATTAAAAAGTTAGATAATTTTAAAAAATATTTTTATCTTAAAAATAAGAGTTCGGTAAAAATAAATAAAAATTATGTATTTAAAGCTAACCAATCCTAAAACCACTGCAAATTTATTCACTTTATTTAGCAGATTTGGGAGATTGGGGTTAGGGTGTTACATAGTATTGACTTATTTGTGACTCAATTTCATTAGCATCAACATCACCCATTTACATCATCCATAGTATCATCAACTTGGCCTCCAAGAATTGTGATCAGCAAAACTTTTTTCATAGTCACCAAGTCCTGCCATTTCGTGGTCACCAAGTATACAAACCGTGTGTAGATATGTTGGTCATAAATAGCCTAGCCCATGGCATCCAAGTATCATCCAAAATTTTGAGAGTAATTTCCTTAGTAAAGAAAAGCAAAGAGTGAGAGTTTTGGGTATAATTGGATTTTGGGTGTGAGCCACTTAAGAATTGTATCTCTCTATTTTCATAGTAAAATATTATTCTGTCTTCTCCCCATGGATGTAGGCACAGCCGAACCACGTAAATCCTTGTCTCGTTTGTGATTGCCATTTTATTTTTCTTGTCATTAATTTTCTCTTATTCTCATAAACTCCTACTCTATTCTTTTTTCATAACAAATTGGTATCAGAGCTCGGTTCATGTATTGTGTATAGATATTGTTATCACATACGGTACTGTTCACACATACTATTCGGGTACTGTTCACAAATACGGTACTATTCACCGAGAATTTTTTTTAGGAGTTTTATTTTTAGATGTCGACCAGATATGAAATTGAAAAATTTGATGGCAAGATTAGTTTCAGTCTTTGGCACATCAAGATGCAGGCCCTGCTGACTCAACAAGGTCTAAAGAATGTGCTATTCGGGAAGGACAAGTTGCCAGAAACTATGTCCAATGAAGGCAAGGATGAGGTCGATGAAAAAACGCGCAGTGCGATTCTCGTGAATCTTGCCAATGAGGTGCTGCGTGAAGTTATTGATGAAGACACGGCGGCAAAGTTGTGGCATAAATTGGAGAGTCTGTACATGACGAAGTCTCTCACCAACAGACTTTACCTGAAACAGAGACTCTACATCCTTCGTATGAAGGAAGGTATGCCTCTTAAGGATCATGTTGATAATTTCAATTCTATTATTATGGATTTGAAAAATACTGATATTAAAATTGATGAAGAAGATCAAGCCCTTATTTTGTTGTGTTCTTTGCCTCCTTCCTATGAGCATTTTGTTAACACATTACTCTATGGAAAAGACACCATTAGTATGGAGGATGTTAAATCCTCACTAAACTCTCAAGAGTTGAGAAAAAAGGTGTCTCGAAATAATGGAGATGAATAGGCCAAGGGTCTGATTGTGAGGGGAAAAAGTGAGAAAAAGGGCTATGGTAGTAGGGGCAAATCGAGATCTAAATTTAGGTCTCATAAAGATATTGAATGTTATTATTGTCACCAAAAGGGGCACATTAAGTGGAATTGTCCAAAATTAAAAAATAAGAAAAAGATAAAAGGGATAAAAAGGAGTCTAAGGATAAATCCACTAGTAATTCTTCTGATATTGTTGGGGTTGCTGAGGAAAGTTCCTCGGATGTCAAAAATGTTCTTTCAATTTCTGTCAGTGATTGTCACTACAGTAGTGAATGGGTTCTTGATTCTAGTTATTCCTATCATATGTGTCCCAATAGGGACTGGTTTTCTACTTACCGTTCTGTTGATGGTAGTACTGTCTTAATGGGGAACGACAATCCTTATAAGACTGTTGGCATAGGCACAATCCAAATTAAGATGCATGATGGTATTGTTAGAACTTTAACTGATGTTTGGCATGTTCCAGATTTGAAAAAAGAATTTAATTTCTCTAGATACTCTTGACTCTAACGGTTATAAGTTTTCAGCTGAAGGTGGGGTTTTGAGAGTTTCTAAAGGTGCTCTTACTATGCTTAAGGGAAAACAGATAAAAGGCCTCTATTTTTTGTAGGGCAGTACTGTGATAGGCGTTGCTTCAGTATCTTTTTCAGTTGATTAAGATTCAAAAACTACCTATCTATGGCATATAGGTTTAGGGCATATGAGTTAGAGGGGTTTGACATAATTAAGCAAACGAGGTTTGCTAGGTGGACAGAAGACAAGAAAGCTGGACTTTTGCGAGCATTGTGTCTTTAGCAAGCAGAAAAGACTCAAGTTCAGTACAACTGTTCACAGGACCAAGGGCACTGTTGATTATATTCATTCAGATCTTTGGGGTCCTTCTAGAGTTCCCTCTCTTAGTGGTTCTCGATGTATGTTGACTTTCATTGATGACTTTTCCTAGAAAGTTTGGATCTATATCTTGAAGCAAAAATATGAAGTGTTCCTTAAATTTAAGCAGTGGAAGGTCATGATTGAAAAGCAGACCAGAAAGAAAATCAAGCGTCTCAGAACAGATAACGGTTTAGAATTTTGCTCAGGAAAGTTTGACAATTTCTGCAGAAATGAAGGCATTGTCAGACACCATATAGTTCGAAAGACTCCATAACAGAATGGTGTAGCAGAACGCATGAATAGAACTCTCTTAGAAAGAGCTCGCTGTATGCTTTTCAATGCTGGGTTGTCTAAAGGATTTTGGGTTGAAGCAGTCAACACAGCTTGTTACCTGGTGAACAGGTCACCATCAACTGCTATTGAATACAAAACACCTGAAGAGGTATGGTCTGGTACTT